CCTACGACGACTTATAGCCCGGATATTGGGTGGAGGGGGAAGCGAGGAGAGTGAAGCTGATCGCTAAGACAGAATTATATGTGCATACGCTACTGGAGCTGTGAATATCTGGATAAACCGAGAACACATCGTACACGAACCACTTTTGAGCTGACCCTTTGTTCGGCGGATGTTTGACAATACTGGCGTCATATTTTTTAACTCCTTTACGATAATGTAGCAGTGCAAAGGCCGACTTTCACACTCTGTTATCCTAGTATTTATAGAGCACAATGTGCTTCAAAGTAACTTTCAGTATGGCCTACCGTATTTCCACAAATAGTAGGCCGGTCTACTATTTTTCAACCTCGTCCTAACCCGGCCTTATAATCGAGGACGGTCTTGTATTCAAGGACGGTCTTTTATTCTTTCAACCCAGTTTGACCCCGGTCTTCTATTTTTCGCACACAGTTTTAGCCCCATTCTTCCATTTTCTTCTACACAGTTTGAGCACGGTCTTCTCCTTTTACCCACAGTTTGAGCACAGTCTTCTATTTTTATTTTTTAACACAAGTTTGAGACTCATTTAGTAGGCCCGGTCTTCTAATCGGAGACGGTCTTTTATTTTTTCAATCGCCCCCTGCCCCGGCCTTGTATACGAGGAAGGCGTTGTATACGAGGAACGGCCTTTTATTTGCGGAAATACGGTATAAGGGATCTCCTTTTTGTGTTCTGTAGAACCAAGAGTACGGGTTATGTACTCTTGGTAGAACCAAGAGTACGGTTATGTACTCTTGGTAGAACCCATATACCGGGTACATGATTGTACGCTTTGTCACTGGACGAGCTCACTGTAAACTAGTGTGATCACCGTCATGCCGCTGTGTTTTCATAGAACTCGAATAGGAGTTCTTTAGCATCTTCTTGGCAGTAGATCTACACGTACATGTACATAATTTACTAGACGAGTCAAGTCCTCATTGTCTATCTCGGGTGGAGAGTTCGTCCTAGCTACATGTACATGTACATATACATGTACATGTACATGTATGACCTGCTAGCACCATCAGTTGCAGCACTTTTCAATGCGTCCCTGACCTCCGGCACTGTACCCGCTGGCTTTAAGCGTGCGTATGTGACCCCATTGCACAAGGTTGGCGATCCATCTGTCGCCAACAATTTCCGTCCTGTGTCCCTGCTCCCAATTCTCTCGAAGCTGCTAGAGAAGGTGGTGCAGAAGGCACTTGTCACCTTTCTGGATATGGCTGGTTCTCTGCCCAGCACACAGTTTGCATTCCGGACAGAACATTCCACGGAGGATGCCCTTGTGCTGATGGTAAACAGGATCCTCGCCTCAAGAGACCGCCGCATGTTCACGGGTGTGGTCCTCCTGGATATGTCGAAGGCGTTCGACAAGGTTCGCCACCAGCAACTAGTCGAAGATCTCTTCTGTGTGGGCGTCACTGGAACAGCGCTCCAGTGGCTCATGTCATACTTGTCTGATCGCTGCCAGATTGTCCAGCTGGGATCCCAGCTTAGCACAGTGGCAGCCTGCTCCTGTGGAGTACCACAGGGGTCGGTATTAGGTCCACTGCTGTTCAGCCTTTACACCCGGGACATACCATCTGTTGCCCAGCAAGCTGAGTCCATCCAGTTCGCAGATGACATCGCACTGACCTGCAGTCGCCCAACACAACAGGAACTGACCGCCACTCTCTCCAGAGCAGTGACATGCATTGCTGACTGGCTGAAGCAGCGAGGTTTGATCCTTAATGCATCAAAAAGTCAGGCATTGGTAGTACCGGCTGGGAAGCTAGAAGCGCAACCTGAACTGGACGTATGGTGTCATGCGACTAAGCTGCCATCTGTCTCTTCTGCTCGCTACCTCGGAGTTCACATTGACAGCGCCATGTCTTGGAACACCCAGATGGATAGGTGCGTTGCCCGCCTCACCAAGAAAGTCGGTGTGCTGTGGCGGATGCGCCGCTGCCTCAGCATGCAAAGCCGCATCCAGTACTTCAAGTCGGTGATCATGCCTGATTTCTCATATGGCTCCAATGCCTTCTCAGCATCGCTGGCGGGTAAGCACCTGGACCGTCTCCAAGTTCTGCAGAATCGTGCGGCTCGAGCTGTGTACGGATGCTCGCCGCGCACCTCTGCCAGAAACCTGCTAGTCCAACTCGGCGCCTACCGTGTCCGGGAGATCTTCATCCAGAAGCTCATCTTCCTGGTTTGGCGCTGCCGCTACTCCCGTGCTAGCCCCACACTGCAAGTGCTGTTGCTACCAACCAGTGGCGCTCCTACTCGGCTGCAATCATCGATGGGTCTAAGACCATCGCCAACCCGCACTGAGCTGGGTAAGGGTTGTCTCGCGTTCCAAGGAGCTAGGCTCTGGAATGCGTTGCCCAGCGAGGTACGGGCCATACCGCACCCGGCCCAATTTCGCACTGCTGCTGTTCCACACAGCATGAACCCTTGAGGTCAGACGGATCACTATCGCCATATTTTCATTATATGCCTGCCTGTTGGCCTGCCTGCCCGTCTCTCTCCCTGCTCTCTGACAACTTGCTTGTTAATTCGTGCGGTTGTTTTCAGACGTAAAGCCCTGCTGTAGAGGTCTCAGCCCTCATTTGTTAGTCTCTCTCTCTGTCTCTCTCTCGCTCTCGGATCTCTCTCTCTCTCTCTCTCTCTCTCTCTCTCTCTCTCTCTCTCTCTCTCTCTCTCTCTCTCTCTCTCTCTCTCTCTCTCTGTTTTTGGTGGACAAAAATATCTCTGGCGTTGATTGCTTTCTTGCTTCGACTTCTGCCGCGCCTTTGTTCTCGTACTCCCCTTTATGTACAAGTGTTGTGCGGACCCTCCCTTAATATAGTCTGTCTCATTTTGTCCTGAGATGTTTTGATGCATAGTGATTATGACGCTCATCATTCGCTCCCTTGTCACTGGACAGTTCTGTCCGTTTGGTTTTAGCGAATTCAAATAAAGAAAACAACAACAACAACATGTATATGTACATGTACATATACATGTACATGTACATGTATATGTATAATATGTACATGTACAGTGCACATTACACAGTGCACATTATACATGTACATGTATGTACATGTAAATGTAGCTCTAAATAGTACAATCATGTACATATACATGTATGTTGTTAGTTTGACAGCATGAACAAGGTGGAGGACACTGAGTTCGGAAACAGTGATCTTATTACTTCAACCATCCACGGTTGGCACAGCCCTGGTCCGTTGGGACCATCTGACCATATTGTGGGTGTTGAACCCGGTTCTGACCCTCATTATGCTAGGGGAGTTTTTAGACTTCTCCTTACGTCAGTTGTGTATTCTTTGATCGCTCCTGGATGTCGTCCTGATAGTCATATAGCTACTTTAACCTGAATTGTTTTTCTTAAATCTATTTTTCTTCCAACTTCTGCCCATCGGGCGTCCCTCTCTCAGCTTGTAAGCGGTTTACAGTCGTTGGCACCACCATGACACTGTCGCGAGAAGGTGCTCTCTGTAGACGAGGTTGGTGATGTCCCTACGTGGCCATGGGTAGGCCTTCACCACGTCGGAACACCCCGGCTACACATTGGTTACCTCCACTAGTTCCGCTGGGAAATAACTTGTTTGTTGTTGACGTTGTCACGTAAACTAGTACTGGTCCAAAAACTTGAATTTCATCTACAAACCTGAACAACTACAAGTGCCTCGATTGGTCAGAACCGGGTTCAACACCCATTATGGTTCAGATGGTCCCAACGGACCAGGGCTCTGCCAACCGTGGATGGTTGTAGTAAGGACAAGGTCAATGTTTCCGAACACAGTGTCCTCCACCTTGTTTCATGCTGTCAAACTAACAACAATACATGTGTGAACTATAAGTATAACAAGGTTTCTCTAATACTAATACTAGTTTTGAACTAGTATTGGGTTATATAAAATCATGTACATGTACATGTACACTGCTCTGGGTAGCGCTTGTGCTCGTACTCGTTTCGTGGCAGCGGGCTCAAAGTCTTTATTCTCCCTACTTATTCAACCCCAAGCTGTTGTGTCCAAACCCTTCTAAGGGTCCAGTGGATTGAAAGGGCCAATTAGGAAATAAAACTGGGAAGGCAATACACTATACTTGTTAAAACAGTGTTGATAGTCTAACAGCAACACATGTGCATGGCATGATAAACCGTACATGTACTACTTGTACATGGTCGTGTAATAGAAGTAAGGCACACTTGCCGGTTCGTTGTTCACGTGGAATCTCCGATCGTGTGAGCATGAGGTTCGAGCCCGCAACCATGAGCAGTGGCTGGTACGGGTAGAAAGCTGCACCAGCATGGCAGTAGATCGCACAGAACAACCAAAAAATACAATCACCGTCGCAGTATGATATGGCAGGGATAAAATATATCTTGAGGTTTGTTTTCCACCAACTGTCTCCTTATCTACTCCCATCCCTCTACTCTCGATATATCGATAGGCTTACTCTGGCCGACACACCCCCCCCCCCCCCCCCACACCCCCCCCCCCCCCACACACACACATACACATCCATACACGCGCGCGCATGGCGTACCTCAACACTAACACTTGATGCCCATCATAAACCAACTGATTGAAGTGTGAAGCATTCATGCTGCTGCACAATGTACTGCATACATGTACATGATGAAATCACTGATGGGTGACTTGTACTGTTGTAGTCTTTCACTGTTTCTCAGCTGCGCCAGCCTTACCAGCCCTTCTTACTTGAGAGATTTGCTTACACACTGGGTTGTGAAGAAGGTCATAACAATAGGCACTGGGTACTGCTGAAGGTGGCATTATTCTGCTGGACAGCAAGCAAGCACCGTGCAAAAATCGTTCTTGAAGTTCAGCAGAAGAACAAACACTTGGCTGAACATGAACAAGTAGTGAGAATTTGACGCGTGTACACTAAATACATGACATAGTTCCATGTGCAGAGGACTACGTGTGGCAGACTACAGTACAGAAGCATTATACACAGTACTATGGCTGGGTTTTGACTATGTTCGTGGCAACAGAATGCACAGTATTGTACCGTACTTCACTGGATACTCTGCAAACAATTCTAAGTAGTTGCATGTAGTTCTAAAGTCGTAAAGAGCCTTTCACCGGCACAGTTTAAAGTGCCCTTTGTAGTTTTCACTGTTCAAGCGTACTCGTGTGCATCCGACTAGCACAACATTGTGACTTGGTCATCCCTCTTCTAGTACTGGCATCATCTCTCACAGCTCATGCACCTAAGGCTAGGGTACCGGGTTACCATGCATTCACGCTGTTGCTTTCTTTGGACTGGTGGCTACTGACCAACTGCGACGCAGAACTCGTTTGAAAATCGTAAGACTGTGCGTGCTTGCAGCTGTTGTAAATTATTCATGTACATGTAGATGGTTGAACACTGTTCAAAACCGTAGATTCCATTTTCAATCCAATTAAATGTTGAGGAGTGAGCACGATATCAGTTTGATACTAGTGCGTCGTTAGACTCAAAGAGCAAAGATGTGCTGCTTGACATGCCTGTAGAATACGAGTTAGCCTAATCGCCTAATCGTCACCAAAACACTATAGGTCGGTAGACGAAACCTTGCTGCTTGTTGGAACTTTCCGCCGTTTGCAACAAAGCTGTTGAAGAATATGGAAGTCAGATGCACACTCTCTCAGCTCGCGCGCGCACTCATCATCGCCATGGTTGCCATAGGAACGTGGAAGCTGCCAGGAACCAGTAGCAAGCCTCTCCATACGGGAGGAAGCTCAGGTAAGCCGGGACAGGGAAAACGGACATACATGTACCTGTGTACGCGTGGTCTCCAGCACGCCTCTAACGTTAGGCTACAGTTCTAGTCCTCTTTAGGTGAAAGCCTCTACTCACTATCAGTTCAGCTAGCTGTTTCGACCTTGTTAGGTCTCCTCAGTGGAGCGCAGAATTGCTGGCCAAACCGATAACAATTACATGTACATCTAATGAACAACAAAGATTTCTGATTTAAAGGATCAAAGTCAGAGTGCTCTAACTGCAAGCTTTGCAGGAGGACAGATAGCTTTGGAGCTAACCAGAAAGAATGCTCAGCCAAGCCGGCGGCGGCGTTGGCTTGCCTCGCCACGAGCCACAAGCACACATTGTTCCCATTGTTGTGTTGTCCTGCTACATGTACATGTACTTCTCTCCCCTCTTCTTACCAGCAGCTAGTTGTGTCTTCAGTAAAAAATACATGTATAATAGCCACGGAGAGGGAGCGTAATTCTCAATACTTGCTGGTGAAAGACTCTGGTAGCGCTGGGGTACCGTTTATCAGGTATTTCCGCATACACCGCAGTGAGTTAGTTACTTGTACATGTACATGTACATGTATGTTCGGAATGATAATGATTTGTATGTTAAATGCAGTGCTGAGTATGAGTATGTACAATTAATGTTTTATGACTAGCTGACTGGCTTGACTTTATGTTTCGTTTTCATCAGGTCTTGTTGGATCACTGTCCGATCAGTCACGTGCGTTCCTGCTTGAAATACATGGCTTGACGAGGAAGTATCTGGATACTGAGATTCTTCTCAAGGATCACCTTAGCAACAACGAAGTGCAGATGGAACCAGCTGCCTACCACGGACACGGTCTGAACGCGGATGCCATACATGGAGTCGTAGGGCCACAACGCGAGGGTTCCTTTGACCTTGACAAAATTGGTGACAGCGCTGGAAGGATTCGGATGCTAGAGTCAGCCACCGCACCAGTGCATACAGTAGAAGGCCTGCATGCTGGCTACCCCAATGCTGCTGCTGCTATCAAAGAATACAACAAGGAGCTAGCTCGAACTGGTGTGAGCAGTAGCACTGAAGAGGACGAGCAGCTCAGGTAAACAAGGTGCAATGTACGTGGAGGAACGAAATTCGAATTTGGATGTAATTTGAAACACATGAACCGATTCAGCACGACTGATAAGTTTCCATTTATTCTTGAAGAATCCGGCATTATTGATCAATAAATGAAAGACGGAATCACAATGACCACATTGATTTTTTTCTTTTCTCAGTACAACATACATGTACATGTACACGCAGCTAACGTGTTAGCTGATGCTCTGGTCTTGTACATCAGTACAGTCATATCCTTCAGATTTTCTAACTGCACCATTGGTTGATGTGACATCGTTCTCGTACAATCAAGCTCTTGCGTGATGCTCTGGTTTAGAACAGCAGAATAGTATTATATTCGGCGTGTAGCGTTTGAGCTGTCGAAATCCCAGGCTATGGCAGTCATGCTGCAAAGAGCGCAGCCAGTTGGCTTGCCCTCTCTCCTCTTTGGCGGCAACCCTGTGCCATAGTCATCCACAATAAGGCTTTTGGGGGTGACTTTCGATCCGATGCTGTCTTTCGCGGAGCACCTCCGCGCAGTGTCTATACGCGGAAAACAGCGCCTGGGCCTCCTGCGGCGAGCTGCGCCCTACCTCTCCCGGGCAGTACCTCTCCCGGGACGGCCGACTAATTACAACTTACCGTGTACAAGGGGTTTGTACGGCCCGTTTTGGAGTATGCTCGGTTGGTCTGGATGGGAGCTGCTTCCTCCCATATTGCACGCCTAACGTTAGACAACATCCAACGCCTTGCATTGCGCATCATTGGTCCCAGGACCGAGCTCCAGAGCCTAGGCACCGGCGGATTAATAATAATAATAATAATAATTCGCGGGATTCGCGTTGGCATCGCTTATGCCGGCATAATTTGGTGGTTGAAAATTTGGACCATAATTTGGCATCCTCTCGGTGGAGCATAACTACATGATTATACCGCAGTATGTAGGCTATAGTTGTGTACAGTGCAACTGATCAGTGCTGGTGGTCTGCATGGTAAAGAGGTCGGACGTCATGCAGATACATTGTAGTGTTTTCAATAAAAAGCAGGGTAGAGAAATCATGGCAATACAGTATTGTATGCTCTAACTCGTCTTCTTCAAAGACTTTGAAAGTTATTTCTCACCCTGATACAGTACATGTACAATGTAGCAGAAGGTGTGAGTGAATCAGCCTTTATCAGGTATCCTGGCGCGGACGAGGTAGTGACGGGTAGTCCGCAAAACTCCGCGTACATGTACATGTACACACACTCGAGAGGAATGAAAAGCGTTTCTTCTGTAACTCTGAGTTTCACGGTTTTAACCGATCATCAGACAGCAACTACTTGTGTCATGTACATTATGCACGTTACGAAGTCATGAAGTCTGGATTTTAGCAGCCATGACTGTGCAGGCTATGGATATCGCTCCAATAATTCAAAAAATTGATGTATAGTTGATGTTCGGTCATGATGGAAGGAGAGGTGGAGCTGCGAGAGAGATGAGCTGATTATTTGCAAGGTGAGGGTGACATCGGTTGGACAAGTATGATGATTACGAAGACAGTTGAACATGATAGTTTTGAAAGGTAACTCAAGCTACTAGTAATTTGAACTTAGAAGTTGCGACTTCGGCGGAAGGAACACACGCTTCTTGCCGACACTTAAGACGCATGACTGCCATCCGGAGCACACGAGGAGCACGTGGCACATTCCACTCGGCAAACCTGCAAGAAAGCACCACTCCCTGCTCAATACACAGTGTTTCGGGGAATTCACCCCTCATCAGTTGAGCTTGAGTAGGCTGAGGAAGATTGTGCCTGCAAACTGAGTGAAAAGCACCACTTATATACTGCTCTTCAGGCCAAACCATCACCAAGGATACAAACTTACAGAGACGGTTTCTGTAAGTTATGAAGCCTGGTCCGCCACATCACAGCATCATCAGTGTATTACACCCGCGCTCTATGCATGCGCCTTCTGCACGCTGTGACTCTTTGAACCACGCGTTTGTGCGTATTTTTGCTGGCCTTTGGTGCGGAAACACGCCGAAATGGAAATTCCACCAAGGCAACATGTCGTATTTTGCACTATAACAGGACGCCCGAGCCCAACACCAAAATCCGCGCCATACTAGCTCTCCCATGCTGGTGAGGAGGCATGGGGGAGTGGCCATGCCTTCAGATCTGGCCAAGCAGTACGAGAGCTCCACTGCAAATACTGAACCGCTCACGGAAAGAATCATGCAGCAGGACCCCCTCGGGGAGGCAATGGAGCAACCACGGCTTCAGTCTATCCAAGAGCGCATTCAACTTTATTTCAAGGATGGTCTGTGCCTACAGTATGGCTGGACACTATCCAAGTAACATAGTGGCCATCCAGCCGTGTGCGTGGCAAGTCTTTCTGGGTCACTCACGCCCTATCCTGCTCCACTGGTGGATACCCCCGCCTGGGACATAATGCGGTGAGGGACCTCACAGCGGGTTTGCTGTAGCCAGTGTAGGAGGTGTCCCATGCTGTGATTGTTAATCAAACCCTGACTAGAGCCCCTATCCGGTGAAAGGTTCGCCCATCGGTCAGTCGCCACGGAAGATTCCGCCCGCCTGGATGTGGTTGCAAGTGGTCTGTGGGGGAATAGGTTTGAGCGCACCTACTTCGACATTCGCCTCATAAATCCTTTTGCCTCCACAAACACCAAGCAATCCCTCCGGGCAACATTCCGCAAACATGACCAGGAGAAGCGGCGACGGCATGAAGAGCGCATCCGTGAGGTCGAACTAACTAACTTGGTTCCTTCATCCCAGTGGTACTGTCATCCTCTGGAGGCTTTGGCAAGGCAGCTAGTGTGCTGTGTTGCCAGATAGCCTCGATGCTGGCGGAGAAGAGGAACGAGCCATACACCATGGTGCTAAGCTTCGTTGGGTGCCGGCTCGCGTATGCGCTACTGCGTTCTGCAATCGCCAGTTTACGTGGTCATCGGCAGCGGTCACTACCGTCCGATGCCACTTCAGCTGTGCTGGCCGTATCCAGCTGTCACATTCATTGAAAATTGAAAATGTCATTAAAATTTTAGATTCTGTCTCTTGCTCTTTATATCTGAGTTCGTCTCGCTCGTTATTGGTATTTTCTCGCTGCTGGTTTTACCTCTTCATGCAATCACATCATTGCAGATACGCATGACCGGAAATCCAAACAATCAGCTGATTTTTCAGCGCGTATCGCCGTAGATTTATGTTACAGTGCAGTATGTGCCAGTAACTTTGACTGGCGGGGTCAACAAATTAGTACTCGAAGGCGTTGCGCGCCCTAAAATTTAAAATACTACTCGAATTCATCGATCGAAGTGCAGTTTTTTGTGAAAGTCTGAGCGCGCGTTTGTGCACGCATGAACCGCAAGCGTCCACGTAGATTCTTCGCGCGCATGGACGCGTGTTCATGCCTCATGCATCATTGCATGGTCGCAGCGTGAGCGCCCTCAAACTACATGTAGGTTTACAATTATGTAGTCACGAGATCAAATCAACCAGAGCCGGCCTAGCCTGAGCCTGACTCAGGCCCGTCACGCCTAGCGCCTGTGACTTGTGAGGGCCAGTGAGGCCCTCGACTGAGTCGAATTTTCTTGCTCGAGAGCAGAAACCGAGTGTTTGTAGGAGATCTTGAGCTCAGATCATGTCAGTGGTAGATGAGAAGACCATTCGGCGCGGCATTGTTATCTAGAATTATTTATTAGCTTCGCAACATGGAATGCCCCTCTAATGTTTCGCAGTAAACCCAAGGCCACAGTCTAGTCAGTGTATGGACTGCGGGCTGCCAACGGCTGGAAGACCTCAACAATGAATCGATGTATGGCTGGTTCCACGGCAGATTTGTTCTAAACATCTGCGCTGAGCGCAAGTGGAAGCCACTAACATCGGTAGCAAGAGGCATGCTTGCTTCTCTATGAGGAATACTAGCTTATTTATCAGATGCCTAGAGTAAAACGTCAGGATCGTGGCTGGATCTCGGCGCCACATCGTCGATCGACAGCCTGTCTCGCAGTGGTGTTCGTTGTTATATTTGCCTTCTGGCTAAGAGCCAGAATTAGAATCAGCAGAAATAATTATTTACCGTTGGACTTCTCCCCTAACCGCCACGCCCAGCGCTTGCTACATCCCATACCTCTCAGGCATGTTGCCGTACAACACGCAAGTAGTTTGGTGTCGCTGCGTTCCACATCCACTGATGGAGAAAACCAGGCTTCTACTAGTAATCCAACGAGTGACAAGCCCTCCGTTGCCCTGCACCCATCGCCAGTAAGTAACGGCGCAGTCTCTACATCAGCGCAGACGTTGGCTCCTTCAGCGATAGATCTACCTGCGAGCAAGCCAGCATACAGCACTACTACACGTAGTAGGTCTACGGGTACTAGTAGTAGTCATGTCATGGAGCCAAGCACTGCCTTGGCTTCACCACCAAGTGCGCCTCTGACAAGTGGGCTCCAGGCCAGCGCCAAACAAAAAATTCCAATTGAATGCACATCGAAAGATGCACAGTGCTGCACCAAATGGAGTGAGTACTACGGCCAGGAACCTCTGTATCTGGAAAGCCTGCCTCCTTCCCTTTCACTGCAGCAAGCCAGCCAGGCAAAGAAATGCAGACGTGTATTGCTGATAGTGATATTCAATTTCCCATTCTTGCATCAAGTACCACTGCTAGCTAAGATGTACGGTGAGGCTGCTACGAAGTTAGTCTACTACTCTGATGTCGAGAACAAGACACTGGGCGTACGCCGTGTGCCACTTGAAAGAGGATTCTTCCAGCAGCGGGCAATATCCGATGCCATGCGTAGGGACCCCGGCTACGACGGGTATCTGTGGATTTCCGACGACATGTACTTGGGCTACCCAGCACTATTCTCGCGACGGAACTTCAATAACATCTGGACGTTTCCGCATGAGCTTCCAGCCCGCTATGTCAACAACAAAGGAACTGACCCGTATTACCATTGGAATATGCCGTATGGCCGCGCCGCATGTCAGCTTGGCTATCTCTGCCTAGCAGACAAGTACGTGAGGAGAGTTCAAGCTCACCTAGGCTGCACCGATTGCATGGTGAAAGGCGCGTCGGATTTCGGTTATATCCCGCGACGCTACGTTCCCAGCTTCATGGAGCTCGCGTACGTATTCCGCAATGTCTTCTTCGAAATTGCTATTCCTTCCATCCTGAAGATGATCGTGGACGATGTGAAGACAGATCTTGACATTGTCGATGATGGACTCTATATATGGGGACCTTCTGGTGCAAAGGCTGAAAAGGCTCGCAAAGCCTGGAGAGTGACTACACCTTTTATCCACCCTGTGAAATTTTCAAATAAACCACTTGCAGCAAATGCACAGAGTTGG